GTCTACTCGGCCTTGTTAATACCTACGCAATGATGTAAGACTTGTTCACGTACTCGCTCTGTGGCAAGTGCTAGGTAGTTTAATCAGGTTTGACCATGTACAATGTTGTCATATAGTTTAATGCACATCGTGTCTCGATTCGCCTAGGCAAGACCGAGATATCCATGTAAGACTTGTGCAAGGACTCGATCTCTGGCCCAAGGTACGTCGTTTGAAGTGGTTACTATGAGTGCTTCTTCACACAGGTGGGTACTTCGAGCTGCTCATGCTGGAGATCGCACTCATGTACGCGAGATAGAAGCGTTCGTTCCGAGTTGCTGCTTGCCAAAGGTGAGGATTTAGGCACTGGTGCGATGACAACGCATTAGTGACACACCACGGACTGTGACTCATCTGTGACATACGTAGGAATGTGACGCATACCCGACAGACCACTGACTGTGCCTTATAACAGACAGTGGACTCGATATCTCAATTTTGGACGTACACGATAAAACATTGATACTGCAAGCCTCGGACGTCAACGCGACCTAGCATTCCATGCTCTCGACAGCGTCCTTTACCAATGTGCCAAGTTTTGGCGATTTCATTACCAAACACAATGTTGTCGACCTCGCGACCTGGCGATGGGCCAAGAGAATAAATAAGATGAAAAAAGATTTTATTTCGTATTTATAGGGCCAACTACAAGTGTCTGACGCAGCGTGGCGTCGCCGTGCGAGCTCTGTAGCGAGAGTAAATGACAGCGGCAAACAATATTTTGATATAGTGTGCTTTTTCGCTATACCGAAATAATGTATCATGATACAAGGTCTCATCACGCTGCGGTATCGTGCACACTTTGCCTCCCTCGGCTACATGCAACACGCTCTTTAACATGAACCGAAAGAGACGACGTCCTCGGTTTCCGTGATTTCGACGCATTTTCAACCGAAATAGCATGTCGAATTTCATAAAAACCGACGCTTGGCAGTTCGAGTTTGGTGTGAGCGCCCAAGCAGCGACGGCGACCAAGAAATTGGTCGCACACCGGGTCAAGACCCATTGCCAACTGTGGCAGCCAGTCTTACGGTCCTTGGAGCTTCAGAACCCCGCGATGTCACGTGAAGTATTTGAGCAATTCTGCCGCCACCTCGAAAAATGGAAAATGGATTTGCGCGTATTTGCGCCACGTCCAGCGTCGGAAACGACATGTACGTCGTTCAAAAAGGGTGTGGAGATGTATACACGGCCGCTACGTGGCGCTGGCGCGTCTGTGGGCTGCTACTCGTCGTTGTGCTGAATGGTGCCCACACTATTTAAGACGAGGTCGTGTGTGAACTGATATCCGGAGTTTGTCCGGATACGGATTCCACGTGCTGGAGTGGCATCGGTCCTCAACGTCGTAGACCCAAGCATCCGCACGCTGCATGAGACTGCAGTGGTCGTTGCAAGCGCTTAGCTGGTGAACCAATGTCTTGAATTGAAGCGATGAGTGACGAAAAAAGGACCAATGCCACACGAGTTTCACCGTCCAAAGTCGACAGGACGCCTAGTTGCGACCGCCCTGCCGTGCGATACGCTGCCGTGCGACCGAGGCCCTCGAGCGCGAATTGCAGAATGAGCAGCGCTTAAGGTTTTTCCGATTCTCTTGTAAAAGCACTGCGTTTCGCCTTTGTCGTGCTCGTCTTTACACTTGTTTTTACACGACTGAACGGTTGCGCGGAAATGGGACCGTTTCCGAGTGCCACGTCATAGAAATCGACTGTTTTCATACGTTGTGAATATCTCATCTCTGGTATACGAGGAAGCATATGTACCATCAGACAAGTGATACTACAAGATATGAACTCGTCGTGATCGCGGAAGAGAAACGCAGGACCGAGCATGGTAAGCTCTAAGCCTCTCGTTGCAATCGCTCCACAGCATGCGATGGTTTTGGACGTACTATTGCCATGAATATCGATACGGTGAAAGGGGCGCTCGTCGTTACTACAAGTCTAGAAGACAAGACCAAGGCGTGCCAATGCGGTCATTTGCTTCTTTTCGTTTGTAGAGCGCTTTGTATCTTCGATCTGGCATTGCGCGCGCTGTACGACTGTAGCGGCAACGTAGCTTGGTCTGCTCTGCTCTCCAAAGCGTATTCTATCAATGTGCCAACTATGGGCGATTCCATTTCAAACGCGATGTTGTCGACAAGTGGCGTCAACGCCTTGCCGTGGCGGCTATAAGGTGGCACTACGATCTTAGTTTGACGGAGTAGTGCCTCTCAGATGGTACTACGATCTTAGTTTGGTATGCATTTTGGATCGCGCCTCGCTACCGCTGTACGCCTAGGACGTGTCGACGCGGTCTCGCTTTTCATGCTGTCCAAAGCGTCCTCTACCACTGTGCCAAGTCTGGGCCATATCGTTTCTGAACGCAAAGTGGTCGACCTGAAGTTGCTTCAAGATGTCGCGCCACTCACTATGGACAAATGCTACAGCCCGAAGCCGGCAGGATCGTCTTTTTGGGACCTACCCAGTGCACCATCGCCCGCGATCAACAGCGCTAGAAACCCTGGTGCCCCGATATGCCGAATTGTACTATTTGCGGCGTCATGTGGGTATTATATATGGCATATGCCATTTTGAAGAAAACACTGCACACAACGGAAAGCTCGACAAGCTCGGTGTGCCACCTGAGAGTATACGAGCGAAATTGGGCATGACTATCAGATGGTGTTTATAGGCAGCTAGAACGCAATTGTTTCTACTCGACGCCTTCGTCGTCGCTGTCGTCTCCGTTGACCTTGAGCTTGGAGAGAACATGGCGGCCGTACTCGGCGAGGAGCTTGCCTTGCTCGGCGCTTGCGCAGTATTCCGTGAGCGTCTAGGGGCGTATCCCTTGAGCACGTATAAGAGCGCACTCTCGGCACCGAGCTCGATGTTGATGTTGGGCTCTTGATGAGCGCAAAAATCGGCGGCACGAGCGTGCCCGAGTGCAGGCGCACATGCTTCGGGACGACCTTGGCCATGCGCTTGACGATGCGCAGAGCCGTGCGGTTGACGACCTTGTTGGCGGTGTCCGAGAACCCCATAGCGAACGCCTGGACAACGTCCACCGACACAAGCGCCGCGTCGACCTTGACCGCGAGGCCAAGCGCTGTGAAGCTCGACGACTTGACGAGCGGGTTCTCGTCGCGGGCGAGCGCCACAAGCGTCGGAATGACCGGCACCGCAAGCGTGGTGGCTACTCACGTTGGCACCGGCAAAAGGTTGAACAAGCCCGATGCTACCAACGCCGCCGAGTGAAGAAGGGTCCAGCTCCTCGATCATCGTGAGACTATGATGTTTTTCGCCGCCGAGCGAGAGCGTGAGGGCAAGGTCGTTGCTCGCGCGCACACGGAGGAGGTCACAGTTCGTGACGAGGTGACCGCGAAGGACGTCTTCCACCGCGAGCACTGCCGATGCCGAGACCTTGGCGCCGACGCGGGTGAGAATCGCAACGAGCGCGTCAAGGTTGGCCTCCAAGATGCCGCCTTCGTCGACGCAACCTTGGCCGTGAGCTCGGCAATGAGCGGGTCGATATGGGGCGAGAACGAGGTGGACAAAGGCCGGGCCACCGCACGCACAGACGCGCTCGCGCCGTGAAGAATGCCGTCTGCAGCCGCGGCAAGAACGGATGAGCGGACCTGTGATATTGGCGAGAACGCTTTGAGGTACGCGGGCGACGCCAGCCGCACAAGTTCGTCGAGGCCAGCCGCAGCGAACTGGCGCGCTTTGGGCGTACCGTTCACGAGTGCGTGCTGGTAGGCCGGCAGGAACGGGTCGAGGCCTTGGGCAGCGCAAGCGCCGGCAAGAAAAAGAGATCTGTGGCACCAACACCGCCCTTGCGATGGCACGCGTCACTGAAATCGAGCTGAGGTTGTTGCAAATAAAGTCGATGCGCTTGGCGAGCTCGTCAGGCCTGGTCGTCGTGTTTAGGCTGCTAAACGCCAAGAAAGCAGCCTCGACAACCGACACGTCGCTGCCGTTGAAGCGCGCGAGGACATACTTGAGAAAGATCGGGACTTGTTCGACGTACGAGACAGTCGCCGACTGGCAAAAGGCTGCGATGAGCCAGCACGCAAGATACCGCGTCTCAGCAATGTCGGCTTCGCAGTACTTGCAAATTTCAGCGGCAAGCCACTGGACATCGGCCGCCTCGACCCTCAACGCAACCGCACGCACCGAGTGCTGGATCGCTGCCACCCTATCGTCGTCCGGGCGGCTCGTGACGACCGAAACGGCGTTGTTAAAGAGCGCTTGAAGGCTGTGGTCGATGTGGTAGTGCAGCACCCGAGACGGACGCAGTGCGCGCGATCGCTTGGACGTTGGACAAGGCCATCGGCGTCGTGAGCAGGCGCGGCACGAGGTACGGAAGCACCTCGCGCGACTTGACCTTGACATTCTGGTGGCCAGCAAGCGCGCGCTCTTGGACGAGGTCGTCCACCGACGTGATACGCTTGAGGAGGCGCGGGATGAGCTCGTCAAACGAGCGGTAGCACATGCTCTAAACGCACCACCGGCCGCGCTGCGGACCTCGGGCGGCGCGTCGCAAAGTGCGTCTTCGACCGCAACGACAAGCGTCTCGACGGAATCGTCGAGTGTGCCTTGGGCGAGCACTGGATGACGACCTCGGCGAGTTCGAGGCAGACGCCTTGACGCATGCCGGCGGGGCTCATCGGGTCGAGGCCCGCGCGCAGGATAAGGACGACCTCGGGTATGACACACTCGCCGAGCTAGCGCACGATTTCGCCGAGTGTGCACGCGACGTTTTGCATCTCGACGCTCTTGCCCGAGAGCGCTTGCACGAGCGTCTCGAGGATCGAGCGCAGCGTCTTGGGCGGGTTGGAGACGACGCTCTTCCACACCTGGAGCGTGCTCTGGCGAACAACGGCCGACGTATCCGAGCGCATCATGCAAAGCGCAGCGAGAACGGCGTCGCGGCGCGGCTTGCTGAGGATCTCGAGCATCGCCTTCTCGCCAGCGGCGCTGCCTGTATCGGCGCCGTCTTCGTCGTTGTTGGCACACATGACAACCATCTGCGTGCCGCTGTCGTGGTACAACAAGTCGCCGAGGAGCGAGATCGACGACTCACGAATGCACCAGTTGTCGTCAAATAGATTCTTCGTGTTGGAAAGCGCGTATGCGTTTACGACAAAAAAGCGCATGGCCACGTCACGTACACCTTCCGACTCATGCGAGAGACCAGACACGATCATCTGGATCGCCTCGGCAAGGTACTTGGAGAAGCCCTTGCCGAGCGCCTTGACAAACAATCCAAGCGCTTTGGACGCGACCTTGCGAACCTCGGGAGCTGCATCTGGAGGATACGGCGCGATCGTGTCGAGGAGATACGGCGTGAGGTCCTTGGCGTCGTTGACCATCGCGCACATGCTGCTGGCAACAATTTTCTCGGAGATGCGGGTGTCGTCAAGACGCGCTAAAGCACGGATATGACGAGCGCAAGCGACGGTGCGTCGATCGAGTGGCCCAGCTTCATCGACTGCAGCGTCTGCCGTCTTGCGGGTCGGGTCCTGGAAGCCGGCGAGCAAAATGAGGCGATTGAGACAATCTAAGGGTTGTGCACGACACGCGCAATGTCAAATGCGCAGCCTCCTTCATGCGCGGGTGTGAATCCGAGAGCGACGCCGTGAGCTTCGAAATGATCTGCGGCGAGCACGAACCAAGCCGTTTCGACGCAGACGACCCGATGACGCCAAATGGCAGTCTGCTTGGTACGCCACGCCGGATCGTCGACTGCGCGCAAGACCGAGGTTAAAATGAACTTGCCACCGTGCGCCGAGAGGATAGAAGTCCTTGGACGTGCCGCTGGCGGCCTCGCGCACGGCCGCGCTCGTGGTCTTGGTGCTGGCTGTCGTGAGCAGGCAGCAGAACGTCATGCGTGAGGTGCTTGAGGTCGTATGGTGCCGCAAGGCGACGCGCGCTCTCCCAACGCAACGCGGCGCGCGCGCACCACCTTCTGCGGCGTTGCTTGTCGCCGTGCTGACCATTTGGAATTTGCACTGGGTTTGGGTATCCGGAAATTTTCCGGATACCTCGAAACGACGCAACGAGTTCGATCCCATCGTCCGCACGCATCGCACAGGCCCGAAGTTGTCGCTGTCGGCGTTTGTCTCGGCGCATCGAACTCATACCTCACAGCGCGCTAACGTGGAAGCAATGTCCTTTCTACCGCTACGACGCCGATGGCTGCGACCCAACACTGGATTGACACCTCCGCGAGCCTCTTTCGCGCCTGTGTACGCTGTACATCTGCGTCAAGTGACCTGCGTCAAGGTACAAGCACCGACGCTCAATGGCTGCGACGCAGTTCAAAATGGTGCTAGTACCACTAATCGTGCTTGGTGAGGCATCGGTTCTCGACGAGAAGCATTCGCACGCTGCATGAAGACGCAGTGATCTTTGCAAGCGCTTAGCTGGTGAACCAATGTCTTGAATTGAAGTAATGCGTGACGAAAGAAGGACCTCGGCCACAGGAGCTTCACCGTTCACAGTCGACAGGACGCCCGCTGGCGACCGCCCTGCCGTGCGACCGAGGCACTGGAGCGCCAATTGCAGATTGAGCACCCCTTAAGGGTTTTCCAATTGTCGCGTAAAAGCACTGCATTTCGCCTTTGTCGTGCTCGTTTTTACACTTGTTTTTACACGACTGAACGTTTGCGCGGAAATGGGACCTTCTCCGAGTGCCATGTCATGGAAATCGAGAGTTTCCACATATTGTGAATATCATATCGCTGGCATATGATGACGCATTATAGCATGGCACACGCTTTACACAAGTGACAATAGACGACATCAAATCGTCGTCAGTGTGGGAAAGGAGCTCACGTCCGACCATTTTGAGTTCCAAGCCTCTCGTCCCAATCCCCCACAGGATATGATGGCTTTGGAAGCATTTGCTTTGGACTTAGTAACTCCAAGAATGTTGCTATGAGTTGCATTCTTGATCGCGTGGAAGGAGAGATCGTCGCTACAACAAGTGTAGAAGACGAAAACCACGACGTGCCAACGTGGTCATTTGCTTCTTAACGTTTTAAGAGCGCTTGGTATCTTCGATCAAGCACTGCGCGCGTTGTAGGACGGCAGCGGCAACGCAGCGCTACTTGCTCTGCTCCTCAAAGTGGCTTCTATCACTGTCCAAATTATGGGCGATTCCATTTTAAACATGATGGTGTCGACAAGCAGCGGCGGCGTCCTGCAGTGGTGCCTCTAAGATGGCACTAGGATCTTAGTTTGTAGTGCATCTTGGATCGTGTCTCGCTGTCACTGTGCGCCTCGCTCGTCGACCCGACCTCGCATTCCGTACACTCCAAAGCGTTCCCTACCAATGTTTCGATGTGCACCCGAGAAAATGCGACCGGGTATGTCCACGCAGATGTTGCATAGCGAGTGCGGCTACTAGACGAAAAGGATGGAGTATTATGTCTAGATATATAATCCACACAACATGCAATCGAGAGACAGTACGAAGAAGTTGGTAGTGATCGGGGATACCTAGCCACGCGGCACGACGAAAGCTTGACCAATAAAAGCACTGTTGGCCAAGAAGCCATTTGACCATTGACGCAGCCTACGCCAGCGTCTTGTACTGGGAGTTTCGCTTGTAGCCACCTACAGCAGAAAGCGGATCGGAGGCAACGTTGGGCAGAAGATCCGCAGCGGGTGAAAGGCTTGTGGCCGGCGGAATGTTGTCGCTGCACCGTCAGCGGTCTCGGTGCTGACTGCCGTGTGCAAGCAGCAGAACGTCGTGTGTGAAGTTCTTAAGGTCGGAAGCATCGGCCTCAATGCCAAGAGACGGTGCGCGCGCTCCGAACACGACGCGGTGCTCGCGCAGCTCCTTCTAGTGCCGGCGCCGACGTTGTCGTGGCTCGTCGCCGTGTCGACCATTTTGGTATTGGCGAGGTGGCAGATAATCTGGGAATTGCTCTTGGTTTTGATATCCGGAACGTGTCCAGATACACCTCAGCTGGACAAGGGTCGCTCTTCCTCGCACACCTCGAGGTGCTCGAGGTCGTCGCTGTCGGCGTTTGTCTCGACTACACAACGCAAAGCGCCAAGATACCCAACGTAAAAGCAATTGTCTTTGCTACCGCTACGGTGCTGATGGCTACGACCGACCAGCTAGCTGGACATGTACTAGTACCATACAAGTAGGCTCCGCGAGCTTCTTCTGTACACCTTCTGTACACCTACGCCAAGGCAATCGCACCGGCGCTCTATGGCTACGACGCTGTTCATAACGCTACTGGTACCACCGGGCGTGGTATCGGGCCTCGATGACGTAGACCGTAGCACTCACATGCTGCATGGGACCGCAGCGGTCCTCATCATTGACAAGCGTATCCCTGGTAAGTCAATGTCCTGCATTAAAGAGATGGGTGACGGAAGAAGGACCTCGGTCACACGAGTTTCACCGTCCACAGTCAACAGGGCGCTCGCTGGTGACCGCCCTGCCGTGCGGCCAAGGATCGAAGAAAATGACATTTGAAAATGAAATCGCACATATTTGCCAGAGTGGTAGACCACACTTTGGAGGGTCCAAAAAACTACGTGACGTCGCTGTGCGAGCGTCTGTAGCGAGAGCAAATGACAGCGACAAACAATATTTTGATATAGTGTGATTTTTCGCTATACCGAAAAAATGTATCATGATACAAGGTCTCATCACGCTGCGGTATCGTGCACACTTTGCCTCCCTCGGCTACATGCAACACGCTCTTTAACATGAACCGAAAGAGACGACGTCCTCGGTTTCCGTGATTTCGACGCATTTTCAACCGAAATAGCATGTCGAATTTCATAAAAACCGACGCTCGGCAGTTCGAGTTTGGTGTGAGCGCCCAAGCAGCGACGGCGACCAACAAACTGGTCGCACACCGGGTCGAGACCCATCGCCAACTGTGGCAGCCAGTTTTACGGTCTTTGGAGCTTTGGAACCCCGCAATATCACGTGAAGTAATTGGGCAATTCTGCCACCACCTCGAAAAATGGAAAATGGATTTACGCGTATTTGCGCTACGTGCAGCGTCGGAAACGACATGTACGTCGTTCAAAAAGGGTGTGGAGATGTATACACGGCCGCTACGTGGCGCTGGCGCGTCTGTGGGCTGCTACTCGTTGTTGTGCTGCATGGCGCTCACACTATTAGAGACGAGTAAGGCAAGCCTTGTGATTGGCTATAAAGAATTAAGAATTAAGTCAATAAAACATCCATGTCACATCGAGTTCCAAACCGATCCGCAAGCACAAGAAGTGGTGTCGACGAGCGCGATCATCGGGAAGGTCCAGCGCGACAGGCGGTTGCACAACGAGGCAGAGCGCGCTGCCTTCCGCGAGAAACACAAGCGGACCTCGACGGCCGCGTCGAGGCCCTGTAGAAGACCAAGCCGGCCATCGACCAATTTGCACCTGAAAAGACCGCGCCGCCGGCAGCATCGTGATCGGCCACGCGTTTCCAACGGCCCACTACAAGTCGCTAGTGATGGAGAGAGGTTCAACGTGCTGATTTGTGGCATCCTTGGGCTCTCGGTGATTTTGCAATGAATTGATTTGAATAAAATGGCATTTTCGAAACCGCGCTCTATGCGCGGAGCCACGACGCTGGGATCATTTCAGTGGCCAAGGACAAGTCTGTCTAGATTATGAAGCCTCAAAGCGCCACGTATTGGCTCGCGTTGAATATCTAGATGTATTGTGTTGGAATAAAGCAGCAATTGTTGGCGAGTTTCAAAACAAATACTTGCAGGCCTTTGATAGCCACGATTGTCGGCACACAGCCTCTCTAGAGCTAGAGAAAGCGCCCCTGAAAATATCTCTGCGATTTGGGGAGATTGCAAAACTTTCGATTTCGGATCGACAAGCCTCACGCCTGCCGTAGCGGTGCATGGCCAAAATGTAAGAAATAGTGGAAAATGCTGGGATTATTTTCAACGGCCCACTACAAGTCGCTAGTGATGGAGAGAGGTTCAACGTGCTGATTTGTGGCATCCTTGGGCACTGGGTGATCTTGCAAGCGTCCCGCTGAGCGAGATCGTTGCCCGCCAGCGCTGGCAGCGCGTGGCCCGAAGAAAGAGACATCGGGAAAACTGTACGGAGCTTGTCGTCAGGGGCCTCACTCACGGCTAAAAGCACCCTGGGCGACTGCAGATGAGCAAGATGAGCCCAGCGCCGCCGCCTGCAAAGCCACATCTCGGCGAGCAAAGGAAGAAGAAGAAGAAGAAGATGGCTACTCTCCACGTACAAGGATAACCCGGAACACTCACATACATATTTTCGCCTGTATCGCATTAGGAGCGCGACGGTAGGTCGTTGTAGTTGTTGCCGGTCACGCGACCCGACGTCGGGGCGCGCGGCTGCTGGATTGTCTTTGCGT